CAGCCACGGGGACCGCGCGAAGCAGAGCTCACTTACGATAGACGGCGATTGTACCTGCCCAACGCTGTAATTACTTATAACTTCTCTATCTGTCTCTCTGTCTCGCTCCTCATCCTCCGCGTCTCTCCTTCCCCTCCACTCCCCAGCCAAGCCCGCGGATTTCCCTCCTCGCGAACGCTCCGTGCGAGAGAGTTAACTTACCTGTACACAACTCCGCAGAGTAGAAAATGTCAGTTTCTAATCTCGGTCTGACGCGTGTTATCGAACCGAATTTCTTTGCCGCTCTTTTCCCGCACGAGAAACAGTGTCGGAGGAACACCCGACACTGTCTTGCACTGTTTAAAAAACTAGCTATGTCTCATTCGAGGGCACGCGCGACTTTTACCGAGCACCCACCACACCGGCGATACCTCTTGACATTCTTGATATGGATCTATTAATTGGAATTATTCAGAATAATGTTTTGTCAAATCACAGAGCGCATCATGTCTCCGATGTTCACGCGTCGTGAACAGTCGATTCAATTTACGGGGGTCGAAAACAGTTACGCCTCACATGTTTATTTCTCGTTTATATAATTTTACGCTTTATGTCGCTAACCCTGTCTGTAATTATTCAGAATATTGTTGTGTTCCTCGTACAATCGGCAGTCACGATGCACAATTTTGCAGTTCGTGTGAGGAAATTCGAACACCCCTGTGTATCAGATGTACACGATACCCGACTGTGTCTTCCGCCAAAAAAATATATATTCATCATCTAAGAGAATCATGTCAACATTTCGCTTTTTTCTCGATTCACGCCTCCTCGCGAATTTATTAAACGGCAAATGTTAAACAAAAAATGAACAAAGGCCGCTAGTACGTCAATCAATAAAACACCTACAGGCGGACATAGCTAACCTAGCAAGAAGGAATAAGAGATTAGTACATCGTTCGGCCAGTCATCGGCTTGGAGGAGACAGAATGATAACCGCGGTTCAGCCTAGTAAAGCCAGCCTGCCACTAGTTCACCACCCAACAGCCCAAGCGGGAGCGACGAGAGCCGCTTAGTCACAGAGCATTCTCTACCTCCCGTTGCGTCCCCGTTTCACGCGAAGCCGTGAGTTTTCCAAGTTTACGCTCCAGCGCTTCCTCGAGCGGCTCATCGCCGAATCGCCGGCACGACGGCGTTTTGAGCCCGCTGCGCGACAGGAACGTTCGATAGTGCGATTAATATAGCCGGAGAGCGTGTACACCCGGGTCGCGCAACGTCGCTGTCAGGCTGTCGTCGAAGAGGGTCCAGAAGCACGGCGAGCAGCGACGCGACCTGCCGACCAGTTGTCTTCGCTCGGAGTCGACGAATTAATGCCGACGCCGCAACGCGCGCGCGCGATACGTCGGCGTCACGACGCGACCGTGCGCGGCGCGGCGCCGGTGAATAAGAGCGCGATCGCGCGACGCGGATCACGCCAGCGCGAGGTTGGCCCGCCTCGCATGCGGGAGCGTTGTTATCGAGCGCAGCATAGCACAGCCGACCCATGCCCGTTTTGACGCTTCGGACCGAACCTTTGACTTCGCCGTGCACGCGCAATTAAGCCCGGACGACCCCGGCCGGACGGCCCCCGTTAATTCATCAATATAATTCGAGGTAATTCAGCTTAAATTGCTGGCGTGCCGAATCGTTCAGGCCAATTTGATTGTTTCATAGCGGAGGTCGAGCGGAAAACCGGCTCGAAATGGAAGTATCGTCGGCGAGAGAAAAGAACGGCGGGAGAACGGTCGAGCCGGGAAAGAAGCTCGCAAGCCGGGAGATACGATACGAGGAATCACAACGTTGACGTTCTCGCTTTGATGCCTGCGAGAAATTATTTACGATGCGCGGCACGCGCGCCGCAGCACTCGTGGATCGCGACGGTAACGAGAGGAAAGCGATCCGAAAGCCGACGAAAAGCGTTTCCCTCTCGAATTAAAGCAACCCGGAGACTCTTTTGCCCGAACTGGTGTCACTGTCACGGAATGGCGAAAAAAGTCGAGTTTCGTTCGGCTGCGAGCCGGCGAAGCCGCCGCGACGCCGCGCGGATGACCAGCGCAAAAAAAAAAAAAAAAAAAAACACCACAAGCCTATCCTTTAATTCATGTTGCTCGTTATCATCGCGACGAGAATATCTACTCATTTAGCGCCGTCTCCCCGCCCGGCCACCGGCAGAACCTGTTGTCTACGGATTAGGAGTGTGTCTGTTCTTCAATAAAGCTTCTCGCTGCAACTCCGCGACCGATCCGGAGGACAGCAGAACAACTGCGTCTCCGATCGAAGGTCACTTTTTATGACACACAGGCCCATTGTGTGGAAAATTCCTTTTACTCTTATAATCCGTCAGAGAGAGAGAGAGAGAGAGGAGAGAGAGAGAGAGAGAGAGAGAGAGAGAGAGAGAGAGAGAGGAAGAGAGGAGAAAAGAGAGAGAGAGAGAGAGAGAGAGAGAGAGAGAGAGAGGAGAGAGAGAGAGAGAGAGAGGAGAGAGAGAGAGAGAGAGAGAGAGAGAGAGAGAGAGAGAGAGAGAGAGAGAGAGAGAGAGAGAGAGAGAGAGAGCACCTAAACTGACCGAGGATTCTCAAACGACTCATTGCTCGACGTTGCTAATTCTGACGTTAATGTTCGTTGTAAAACGCCACGTCTGGCGTCTAGCTACCTCGCGTCGTCTCATGCTGAGGCGAGGAGCGAGCGAAGATCTTTCGAAATTGCGGCCGCCCGACGAGGTTTCCCTACGAGGGCCAAGTTTGCGCCGCAAAATGCACGCGCGCGATGCGCGCGAGAGTGCACGAACTCTAGGAGCCCGCAATCTATTATTACGGACCACTGTGAGTTTAACGCGCCTCGCTTATCTGCGTTCACTGTCGGGTGCGTACTACTATCTGTCCCGTAGCCTCGGCGACTCGAGCTGCCTCGAGGCGCTCGTCGAGCTCTACACGGGTCCAGGTAAAGCCAAGTGTTTCTCGAATAGCGCGTTTACCCTACCACACGACACACTTATTCACGTATCCGCTCGTCGGAAACGCAGGAATGCAGAGGACGTGGATTACGTGCGGGAATGCGCGGCCAAATGTCGAAGCGTCGACGCTTGCTTCGGTAACCCGGCGGCGGTTCTTTCGGGCGTTTCCGGCGTCCATGGCCGGAATTTTCGGACGCCGGATTCCGAGGTGGGAAGAATTTCCAGAGAAATGGAAGAGAAGTCGAAGAGAGAGAGAGAGAGAGAGAGAGAGAGAGAGAGAGAGAGGGAGAGAGAGAGAGAGAGAGAGACAAAATTTCGGAGAAATAACGCACAATGGACCTCGTCCAGTTCCCTCACCGACGCGCGTGCGCGCGAGAAGAGGTACGGCATCGAGCAGCGCCGATATCTTAATAAATTGAAGCATCCCTATCGAACCTGCGAGCGATTACGCGAGTCACGGGTAAAAAAAGCGAGAAGATGGAAACGGGCGTGGACGAGAGGATACGGGCGTTTTATGGCGGACGCAAAAACCACGGGGCCGGTGAGCGGCGGGGGTGGAGCGATATCGACGGACGCCTAATTTCAGCCCGCCTCGAGCATACAGCCGCGTCTTCATCGATCGACCGTCACCTTGAATTAAGCGTCTCGGAAGGATCGACTACTTAGTCGCGAGAGGGAAAGAAGAACCAGCGGTTGGAGCGATGGAGACGAAGAAGAGTGAGAGAGAAAGAGATGGAAAGAAGGAGGGCATGAGGGCGAGAGAGAGAGAGAGAGAGAGAGAGAGAGAGAGAGAGAGAGAGAGAGAGAGAAGGGAGCACAAGGAGGAGAGAAGTGAATCTTTGAGGGTAAAATGGTAGCGCGAGATGTAAAATTATACTCGAACTTTGTCGCAGCCGCCATGCGCTTCTCTCACTTTCACGCGTCTCGGTCCGACTCGTAAGGATTCGGCAAAGTATCCTCGATGCTTGAATCGACGGATCCATTCATCCGTAATCGCGGTCTTTTCACTGAAACTTGGACGACGCCGAAGCTTGCGCCGCGCGCCTCTCTTTACCGAATTACATTCCGTTATTATATATTTCACGACAAATTTCAGAAGGTGGGACAAGAAAGGTATCTCGAGCCGCGGGCCAAGCGCCGCCAAGTCGTGTGAGAAAGCGGTGCGCGCGCGGGTCGATCCTGGCGATAACGGCCGAGGGGACGAGAGTGACCTCCGTCGCTCACGATCTCTCGGAGAAATTGACGCTCGCGCGCGCGCGCGCGTCCTACCCTCGTGGACAAGCCGACACTTTCACCTGGCTTAGAAAAATGGTCCGCGCGCTACGGTCACGAGATCGTCGCGTTGCCGCGCAGCGAGTCGCAAAGACCGTCGCCGGCACTTTCGTCGCACTTTTGCGACCGTCCCCGTCCGTAATCCCGCCGCGCGCGTGCTCGAGCTCATTACGTAATCCGCGGGTTACTTTCTACCCGAGATCTGCCGATTGCCTCTCCGCGTCTTGTCTCCGAACGCGCAAGGTTGAGAGACTCGGCGCGGGTCTGCGCGAGAGACGACGATCTCGACGGAGGCAATCACCGGGCCTAATTGACGAACGGTACGCGGCGGACCCACTCGCATTCGTGTTTCTCGATAATAAGTAACGGCTAATTCGGTGCGTCCCGTTAAGGGTGAACGAGTATGTATGTGCGCGTCGCATGCGGGCGAGTACGTCGTCATCGGAGAAGAGGGTCTTGCTCGCTCGCTCGCTCACACGGGAAAGCGAGGCCTGGGCATTCGAGATTCGGCTGAGAGGTCTCTTCTCGCCGAATACCGGGGAACGTAGGTGCAGGTAGCTTCATAGGTTTAGATGCGCGCAAAGGATAGACAATGAGTAGCGAACGGTAGAGAGCAGGACAGAAAGAGCAGAGAGACAGAGACAGACAGACAGACAGAGAGAGAGAGAGAGAGAGAGAGAGAGAGAGAGAGAGAGAGAGAGAGAGAGAGAGAGAGAGAGAGAGAGAGAGAGAGAGAGAGAGAGAGAGAGAGAGAGAGAGAAAGAGCGAGAGAGAGGTTGCGGAACGAGGAGCGAAACAGAAGGAAGAGGGGCTTCACCGGTGTGCCGGCGTCGAGTCTGCACTGTCGTCCTGCAATAACCGTTCGCTCTTTGTCCGCTCAGCTGCCTCCTGCTCGCCAGTGGCTGTCATTCAGGCTAGTCGTGAATGCTACGTACGCTTTTCCCCTCATCCACGCAGAACCGCGCGCGCAGCGCGATACTTGGAGCTGTTTAATGCGTTAATCTCGCATTTGCCGGTCAATCCGCCGGCGCAAATAACGCGACTGCTCGCGATCAGAGCGAGCTCGGAATCGGAGGACGATTGCCCGCGTTTATCTGCGTGAAAACGCACGTCTCGGAACGTGTCTGAGACACCACTCGGACGAGACCGTCGCGAGTACGAATGATTTCGCGCTGATGTAAGATGGATAGTTCCGGCTGATTGTTCTGCCGGTGAAAGCGACGGGGAATTAAGCGGGATTAAATTGTGTTTACATATCATTCATGAGAGCTGGCTAGCTAGTGACAGTTTGTGACGGCGGGTTAATTAATTAGGTCGATTCATCTGGTGGTGATTATACCGTAATTAGAGGTGGGCTCGTATCTAGTCGGTTAATTGGATTGCTTGCCTCCTGTACGAGAGAGAACTGCCCTCCCCGCCCCCTCCCGATAGATCGCACTGCCCGCATAAAGAAAACTCGGGCGCGCTTGTTTAAGGTACGTGCCATCCGACTGTAAGTAATAACCGCTCGTTTCGCATGTACGTTATCTAATCATGCGACGTAATCGTTTTTGCGCCACTTGTGTTTCGAGCAGCCGCGATGTTGCATAAATGTTATCACGTACACGCGTTCGCGTGTGTATGCTGTTGTCGCGAAGCGGGAGACGCGAGTCGCCGCCGATCGGCCGGTCGGATTCGCTGCATTCGCGTTATCATTATGTATATATATATATATACTCTCTTGCCTGTTACGTAAATTACAAATACTTGAGATTATAATATTCGCGAGATACTAAAGTAATTGACATTTCGCTAACGCGCTCAGACTTGCCAACATTGCTCTGTGCGGTGGACAGAAAGATGTCCGTTAATTTTACGTACGAATTTCGAAATGGTTAGTCCAATGGCAGAATTTCTCCCTCCTTCTAAAGGGAGAATTTGGTCCTCGCGCAAAACGGATGAGTCCGAAAACTCGCGAAAGAAATTGCGAACAACCTTTCTGCCCACGATCACGTGCAGGTTTCATTGTTTACTCACATTGATCCTACGATCGTATATCAGGACGGGACACAAAAGCACATCATAATTCCATTATTGCGAGTACTCACCTGAAACAAAAAGAGAAACGACAAACATAAGTATTGTACCTTCTGGATTAGGATATTTTTGCGCGATTGCGAATCTGATGTCCAGCTTCAACAAAACAAAAATTAAAGATAAAATTAAAATTAAATATGACATAATACGCCTGCATTTTGCTCGTTTCGGAACGTTCGCACGTCGGACGGTTCGTCGGAAGTATTTTCAGCATTTTCAGAAAGAGATATTCAAATGAACGTCGCGACATTCAAAGGAGAAGGGAAATGAATGAGTCGTGAAGACAACACGAGGAAAAGGATGGCGAAAGTGGCGTGGATGGTACGTAGGTGTGTCGGGAGAGGGCTGGTGGTCAGTATCGAGCGAACCACCCTGACGTAGCACTCTCATCCCTTCGCATTCTCTTCCTCGCTTCGAGGGTCTTCTTTGCCTGGCCCCTCTTACCCCATCCCCTCCGGCCTGCCTCGCGCCACCTCGCGACACAGGCCACGATCGCCAATATCCTTTATCACGATCTCCCACTTAATGCCTGATTAAGTAGCGTGAATTTGTTTTGATATAACGGACATATTTCGCACGATGGACGTCGCGCAACCGCGGCCCCGGTAATTATTCAGCCGTAATTTGTAACTGCTTTCTCGATCTCGTGTAATGTGTGCGTGCGTGCGCGCGCGTTGCGATGAAATTCGTCGGCAATAAAGCGCATTAGCGACGTGTGAGTGACGCACGCTGCGCCGTGCATATTATACGCGCCGACGCGTGAGCGATAGATGTTCGCGATTTGAAACTCCATTTCCGCAAAATAAGCATAGCGGGGCGCGCTGACCGATTGAGTCCGATTTACCTAGATGTCGCATCTCCGTCTCACCTACTGCACGCTGATTCAAATTAATCGAAGAGTGAAAACGCTAAGCGAGATAATAAGTGCGACAAGGTGCGAGTGTTCGTGCGCTATTAGCGTATTTGCGATTCGTCGGTGGTCCAAAATGAGCGAAATTATGGAAAATTAGTGGACGAGCAGAGTGTCGAATCGGATTTGGATATCTCTGAGTGGCGACACGCGACGCGTCAAAAATCGAATCCGCGATCCCCGAAATCCGGATTCGTCACGTTCTCGATCGTCGTTGCCTCTCACTCGGTTTCAGAGCGGCTCGATCCGGCGATATTGCCGAAAGAAACCGCGAATTGTATCCCGACGCGGACACCGCGCCGAAGTCAATTTGCCGCCGGAGTTACGCACGCTTGGAGAGCGCGAGATGAAACAGGCAAATCTAATTTCCCCTCGGCGACGGGGGCGTGTCGCAGGATCGCGAGCTCCCTCCTTGTTTCGCGAGCGGGAAGAGAGACAGAGAGAGAGGAGAGCAGTATACTCGCGCTCATTCAATCGACATTAGAAAACATCGAGAAAAGCGGATAAAACTTGGGAGTTACGCAGAGAGGAAGCTCTTTCCGCGATTACGTCGTCCTCTGTTCCTAGATAATTCCACGACGGATACCACTGGTTATTAAAAGGGTCTCGCGTATCCGGATATAGTTTTCCTTGACGTGTCACGGCGGATTGCGTAAGCGGAGCGTCATCGTTTAAAATACAAAACGAACGACGCTCGACGACGACGAGGACGATTTAACCGCGTGTGTCTGCGTGATATATCGTTTCGCTGCAGCGTTGGCGCGTCGAAAGTAACGCGATCTCTTAATTATAAATGAGGCTTAATTAATACTAAGAAGCGCGCGCGCGGCTCGAGCTGCTCTCCTGAATTGTAACGGACGAGCAGCGAGCGCGTGCGCACGCGCAATGCCACGCGGACGACATGAAAAATACGTATATGTCACCCGATGTCTCGTCTGTCAAACGTCTCTAATGGCTAAAATTATTTCGTTCACGCTGCTTCCGTCTCAATATGACACGAATGAACGTGCGATGAGTACGATTTAACGCGGGCGCGGGCGCGCGCGCACGCATATGGCGGCCGCTTAAGTAGAATGCCCCCGGGCGGTTTGTTTAACGATTTATTACATGCGCGCGATGCACCGCGCGGCGGATTACGCAACACGATAAAATCACAAAAATACAGCGCGAGGGCGACCTGTGCTGTCGCGCTGCTCCCGCTGCAGTTGTCTGCGCGTCGCGCTCAATGGCAACTTCAAAGAGGGAGGGAAAAAGACGCAATTTTTGCGTCGCGCGCGCGACGCATTTCGCTGTTTTGTATATTAAGCGGCAGGTACACATTACTCGATACGCGCACAATGTGGCGACCTCCGAACTCTCGACCCCAACTATCGCAACCTGCGCAACCTCGTCAACTCGAACACGTCGGGGACTCCCGGCGGAATCCTCGTGCGTCTCAACTTTCCACGGATATTATAACGATTTCCTGCGAGAGGTGTCCTCTCTTTCTCTTTAATGTTCGCTTTTTCGCGAACAAATGAAAGCTCCGCGGAAAATCCTTTCGAGCAAGGAGAGTTTGTCCCTCCGCTCGATCGCGACTCGCGACATGAGTTTTTCTATCGGCCCGAGGCAAATTTTCCGCGTTGTTCTGCGATTCTTCGGCAGTCCGCGGTCGGCGCGCACCGTCTAATCCAACGTGTGTTTTCTATTTCTCTCTCTCTCTCTCTCTCTCTCTGTGTGTGTGTGTCTCTCTCGGTGCGACGTCGGAGTAATCGGCCGAGGGGGGTTGAACGATGCACGTACTTATCACCTCTCTCTATCCCTAGCAGCCCGCTGCCATCCGGGCTCTCTCTATCCTAGAGTTACATCACGGCGCGTAACTATAGCCGAGCTCGCGCTGCTACCATTGAATCAATAAATACCTGCCCAGCCGTGTTGGGGGCACTTGGCGACTTGGGCTCGGCTCGGGAATGCTTAACGATGCGATAACCGCTTAACCCTTTAGCCGGCCGATGCATCGGAAAAGTGTCCACTACTAGCGCGCGCTCCGAGGCCTTTCGCGAATTTCGATTAAATGGTATCTGAGAGAGGAAGAGAGAGAGAGAGAGAGAGAGACGAGAGAGACGAGAGAGAGAGAGAGAGAGAGAGAGAGAGGCGATATCGCTCTACAAACTGCGGAATATATTCGTAGCAGTCGACCCGCGAGCCGAGAGCTTCCAAAGCACACGGCCAAAGTTAATTTTTCCGCTTGTGCGAAATGTATCCCCGCGCGCGGCTGGCGTGATACGCGTTAAACTGGCTCGTAGGCAAATTACCTTAAGCAATCGCCGCGTTACCGCGTGTCGTCGTGATATGACGTCGAGTGACGATAAGCGTACAAATTGAAACTGCCAAGCTTTTATGTCGTCCGGCGACATACGGCAGATGCCAGATTATAGGCGCACTCGCGTAATCGATAGACAGGTTTCGTAATCGTTCGAAGATCGTTTTACATAACAAATCTGGTTTTTGTCATCTTCCTACGTGTGTATCCGCGCTTGCGCAACTTGTTTCCCCTTCCTTTTTTTCGCCTCTCGTTTTACATTTGCGCGTCGTTTTATTTGTGTGTTAAAGACCGTGCGCGATCATGTCACCCGCGATTTACGTTAATCCGCCGATTAGCTGCCGATGATCAATGCGTGACAGTTCTGCGATAACTCTATTCGTCCATTCTCTTCTGTTCTCGCCGAGGAAGGAGGATTTCTCGCTCCCGAAAGCAAGTAAGAATGCCCTCCCGAGAGATTATTATTCCTAACGATCGCGCGAGATGGAGAAGGCGCCTTGAGGACCACTGGCACCGACGCAGCCACCCCCGAAGTGGCACGAAACTTCGCTTTCACGCTTTCTTTCTTCTACATCATCCCCTCGCGCTCGCTACCTCATCCACTAACTGAACGCCACGAAATCGAGACGGTATTCGCTGCCGTGCGAGGCGTACACGACTCTGGCCAACCCTATACCTGAGCACAAAACACCGCCGCAGACACCATATGGTTATAAGCGCGGCTTTTGTATGGTGGTTTAACCTCGTTTCGCCAACTTTAAGACTGCCTATCGCACGCGGAGACGACGTCGCGAGCGGGAACGTAAAAACCGGGGGAAAAACTGGGTCAATATCGCTATATACACCGCAACTCGGAAATTATCCAATGTCACAAATATATTATATAATGTAACGTCGCTCGCAGAGAGCACTTAGCATCTCGCCCGATGCCCGATGATCTCAAAGACACATCGAGGACGGCCGAAAATATATCACAACCCCGAGAAAGAGAGAGAGAGAGAGAGAGAGAGAGAGAGAGAAGGAGAGAGAGAGAGAGAGAGAAGGAGAGAGAGAGAGAGAGAAGGAGAGAAAGGAGCGCGTGACAGAGCACGCGACTTAATTTCCGAGATAGCGATGACTTTCTACGCTCCGAGATATCCGGCGGTGACGCGTGCGATGTCGTGACGCACGATTCTCGCTGTTCGACGATCTATATTTCTCTCGCGTCGCATTTTTCTCACAGGTCTCGTAACACACAATGGTGGTCGATCTTGTGCAATTGGTGAATGGATCGCGCGAGATGTCGAGCACCGACGTAGAGTCGGATGAAATTGCTCGCGGCGCGAGCGAGAACAGAGATACGATTCCGTGCCGTTGTGTTTTCATCTTTGTGTGGCGGGCTTATCTTGAGATAAATAAATTTATCTATCTTTGTGCCTTCGTGTTTATGTAGCGCGGCTTCGAGAGAATCGCCGAGAGTCCACAACGACGCCCCCATCCACGGCGTTCGTTCAGTTCGCGTAAGAACAGACGCGGTTGAAAACCGCTGGAGAACGCTCAGCTGGAGCTCTGACGTGAGGTACTCGCCGAGGAGAAGAGGGACGAAGAGACGGCAACAACGCTCGACGGACGGGTGGCACCGCTTCCACATGCAAGCGAATGAACGAACGAACGAACGAACGAACGAACGAACGAACGAACGAGCAAGCGAGCGAGCGAGCGAGCGAGCAAGCAAGCAAGCAAGCAAGCAAGCAAGCAAGCAAGCAAGCAAGCAAGCAAGCAAGCAAGCAAGCAAGCAAGCAAGCAAGCAAGCAAGCAAG